GGTGGGGGGGGGTGTGTGGTGGTGGTGGGTGTTTTTTTTTTTTTGTTTTTTTTTTTTTTTAATGCTTCAGTTTTCTGGCACATACCACAAACTTTATAAACAGTATGTTTCACAATACCTGTGTAAAAACAGTGGTGTCTATCTTTGCTGTATCACTCGCAACTTTATGGCAACCAGCTGTTCAGGTGGATACAGCCTCTGTTGACAGAATTTGAGAAAGAAAAAATTAAAAATTTAAGAACTGTTTAACATTCATCTATTGTTTAGTCTTATTTTTTTTAGTATTTCCTTTTAGGAAGGCACTACAGAAAAGATTGGCGATTTTTTTAACTTGAATGTTGGCCAGAATCCTCTTTGGGGCATTTTTGATACTATTGGATTTGAGTAATAGAGGCACTGCTTTTCCTGACTAATGGGATAACATTCTTCCTGCAGTATTATTATCCTTTCTGTATTATGAATAAGGTGAACAAAAAAAGATCAACACTTAATCTTGCAAGCTCGTAGCAAAGTAGTTGCCAGCAAGTAGAGCCTTATTTTAAGATTGCTTTTATAGGTGTAAATGCTAAAATCAAAATTCAGTTGACATTTGTAAACAAAATGGTAAATAGCAGACCCCCTGGAAAAACTTGAAAATTTTGATAGGCTTGTTGGTATGCTTCTTTTATTACGGACCCACTGCTGATACTAAGGAATATTATCGTCATAAAGATCTTACTTTGTAGATGAAACTAACTAGGACCTTTAGGATTCCCAAATACCATTTGTAAAAATTAGTGTGAGCATTAGTATGTTTCCATTTTGAGTCGTTGTATTTAATTTAAAGTTTTGGAATGTAACATTTATTTGGTATAAATGCCAAACCTTGGCAAAATATAAATGATCAGTATTATTTAAAAAAAAAAAAAAAAAGAAAGTCCAAAATTCATGTTAACTTGTTGACATAAAACCTTTTCAAAATATATCCTAGAGTAATACTAGTATCTCCTAAACTGTCCCAGGGCCACAGAAGAATGGTATGCTGCTCAGCATGGAGTGAGGACCATCCAATATGTAACCTGTTTACATGTGGATTTGACCGTCAGGCTATTGGCTGGAACATCAACATCCCTGCTTTGTTACAAGAAAAATGAAATGCTGGAAGTATTTTTGCATTTTATGTTGCCATGGACTTCTTTACTTTTGCAGACTTTTCTGAATACTGGTCTGCTGTTGCTGTAAAAGCTCATCCTTAAAAGGAGGGTTTTGCAAATGTTGTTCTTGTTACCACATTGTGCACAGTTTGCATGAATTGTACAGAAAATGTGATTTTTTAAAAAAAATAGTTTGTCTTGTGTATGAACTTTTATATTTTGGCATCCACTGGTCAATAAGTTCACTGTTGCATAGAGCACATAAATGTTCATAAGTTGTTTAGCATTTATTAGATAAACAGTAGGGCATTACATTTGTGACATAAATGTGAAACCTATGTAGTTATTGTAGAGATTATATAGCAGTCTGTTACATTTTTCCATGACTCTACATATCTGCCTTGTCTTAAAAATAATCTGCAGGGCTAAAACTTTGAAATGAAGTGTGAATTTCACTAGTTGTATGATTGTAAACATTTTTTTTTAGTTTGCATCTGTTTGGTTTTTTTTTTTTTTTAGTGCTGCAGTAGCGTGCAACTTCAACTCCATTTTTATTCTAGTTACTGGAGAAATAGTAGATTTGAGAAGGAAAATATAAGCAACTTGTAATGAGTACAGAATGCCAGGTTAATTCAGGATGGTTTTTGTACTTTTCTCTTGAAAAAGAAAGATGTTCATTCTGCCCTTCTTATATAAAACTGATTCTAATCTCATGGCATTTCACAGTAGCAAAAATTCAGAATATTGTAATTCTTATCACTGAAATCATCAAGCAAATTTTGAAGCACTTTAGTTTATAGCTATTGTTGTTATAAACCATTTATGAAAGTTTGACTTTACCAGTGAATGTGAATTGACCTTTATAAGAAGGATTTGCTTTTTTTTGGTTATCTACCACCCAGAAGTGAAATCATGGGGTTTTTTTTGTTTGTTTTTGTCTTATATACCTACAGTGAGCATACTTTTAATTTAGCTCACTTCCCTAATTTTTATTTTGAGCCAGCAATACAAAGTAAATGAGTACTACCTCAAAAATGAATGTTAGTCAAGATGCATTGAATCTCTCTGTAGCCTAGAAAGAAAGCACTTTTGGTCTCTGGCTGAAGTACTATCTCTAACATGATAGGAAAGACAATCATACTAAATGTGATCTTTAAGATAATTAACACTTAAAGCTAATGGAGCAATACGATAAGTAAACATCATCTGTCACCTTTGTGTTCTCAGCCGTGGCTAGAGTTGCTGCAGTCCCTGTTCTCCACCAAAAGGGGATAATTATGTAGGTTTTCCTTTTTTCTCCCAAATGATACTACTCTAGTTTTGCTCCTCACTGTGTTTAGTCTCTTTTGCACTGGCAGCATGGTGTTATACCACAGCTGTTGATTGTATAAGTAAATGCAAGTGGCAGCTGACATCTTCAGAAAGAACAGAAAGGCTGCTTCAGACAGACACTTCCTTCTAGCTAAAGGGAGATACTGCCCCTAACTGTCTGACATATCACAGTGTAAGATGAAGGGTTAGAGTAATCCAAGGGTGCACTCTTGTAATGGGATTCTTAGAGTTTAAAGTGGGTTGCCATAAGATACTAAGTATTATGGACTTTTAATCACATCCTTATGACTATGAGACGCTACAGCTGTGCTCATGTCCTCTACAGCAGTGCTTATAATGACATTAAGGCTAATGTGTAAACTGGTTCTCCTGTTAACTAATATATAAAGGAGTGGAATGGGATGGGAGAGTGAATACATCACTGAGTAATTACGGGGAACATGGCATCCTAGAAGTGATTTGGAGCATAACACTGAGAAGGATGAGAGGACCAAGGAATTTAATCGAAAGCATATATGGTGTGTTCATAGTACAGGTAGTCATAGTAACTTGATCTTAAATCCCCCCCGCCCCCTTTTTTTTTTCGAAGTACAAGATATATATAAAGAATTAGTATTTTAAAATTCCTTCAGTACCAACACTAGTGATGTTGGGGAAAGCAGCTGCAGACTTAGACTTTTAACTCTGGTTATCAGAAGACTTAAAGGTTGCTGTTAAAGTTTATTTTCACTTTTTTTTTTCTTCCTGGTTTTTTTTAATACTTGGGGTAAAACCATTTGATGTTAGGTTGCAGGTTTTTTTCTGTGGGAAAAAAGGCTCACTTTTTCCTTTAACGTTACAAGAGAACTTAGCACAGGTTGGTGCTGTTTAAAAAAAAAAAGAGAGAGAGAAAGAGAGAGAGAAATGTCTGTTCATTTCATAGAAGCCATTTCTTCAGTGTGACCTGTGCATAGTATCTTGAGCAAAGATTAACCCTTTAACTATCTGTGGTGGGGAAAGGGTCAATGGTTTTAGTCCTGCTAAAATAAATTATTGAGCTTTTCAAATACATATGTAATACAGGACCACTAGACTCTATGCAGTTTAGTCATCATTGCTGCAAACTTTTTATATCGCTGGAAGTGTCAGCCTCTGGCACCAGGAATGGGATGACTAACTCGCTTTCACTTTCGGAGGAAAAAAAAATCAGCCAAGGTGCTAGAGCCATGTTCTTATGAGCGGGCTACTATTTAATCAGCTAAATACTAAAGTATTGTTTACCTTAATTTTATATACTGTACTGAAGTTTAAACTGAGGCCATCAGTCCCCTTGAAGCAAGCCACACGTGAGCCGTGATACTGAACAATGTTACATTGACTGAATATGTGGAAAAACATTTCATGGCTTTGAATGTTCTAAAGAGAGCTTTTCAGCACTGAACAATGTCCAGCATTTCATAAAATGGAGGAAAGTTGCAGTTACAATTTCAGTATTGATGCAGAATTTCACAGAAAATTCATCACTGGGCAAAATCAAGCTTTTATGTCTTTTTCTCTCAAACAATGCACATCAGTTATCACAAATTTTGTATATATGTTAAAATCAGAAAAATCTGGAGTGAGACATCTTACGTTTTGCCTAAATCTGTGAAAACTACCTTTTTGGAAAAGAATTTATAAGTTATGTGGAACCACTTTTTATTATTCTGCTAATTTGTTTTTTCAATGTAAAATGTTTTTCTTCATTATGATTCAAAATGCATTAAAACATTCAAAAAAAATTGTTTTGCAAGTTGCGGTTCTTCTGTGTTGCATTAGGATTGCTGTTAGTTTTAGTATTTCAACTTCTTGGTAGTCAAATGATCTTCTTATCCACTTTCCACTCTATTCTACTCAAAAAGTTCATTTCCAGGGAAATGATGGGCACAATTCTTTTGGAAGAAGGCCAAGTCAGTCTCTGAAAATAGGACTTCCGTAGTGCAATTGGTCATCCTGACAGTTAAGTATATGGACCAAAAGGTGCTCAGGCCTGCATTTATAGTCGTCTTCTCTAGTTTATAAAAGCAACATTGTAATTGCATTTTGTTATGCAGGTTAGAGAAAAGTCTCCATATGACTTTCCACAATATTATATAAACTAATTTTTTTCTGTGAAGTCTAAACCACGGATACTACTACACAATTTATATGTTTATAGTACAGCAAAAGTATTGCAAAACTTTACTGGTAGAGGAACCACCCTCATTAATTCCACTTTCAGCAGCTTAAAAAAAAGACTGCTTATCCTACACGTGTCATTCAAATGATAAAGCTTTGCAATGTTGAAAGCAACCTTTCAGAAGGTTTGTGCGAGACGGCTGTCTTTCCATCTGGTTTTGGACAGTGAGGTAGAGCCTTGCCCACCCAGTAATCGAGTGCAGAACACTGCTGTATATACCCCACATTTTCCTTGTATGTAGTTAAGGATCTCTTAATGCCACATTTCCAGTGCTTAAGACCTAGTGCTCTGAAAAATTATTATTTCTTACTGTCTCTGATGGGATAGATCAGAGGTAAAAGACCAAAGCCGTAAGGTGATACAACTAAAACGGGGACTGGATTGAGATGGAACCCCCAACCCTATTTTTTTAATCTATATATTTGGGATTTAAATGTAGTCAGGGCTTCTTGCAGTTGGCTTAAACGTGGTACTGGTAACATCTTTAAATCTTCTAATGACGTAAGTTATACACACTTAACAAAGGCCACCTCTGTTAATATTTTTTGAGGGGATTTTAAGATGAAGGTATGTGCTGAGGTCTAGATTTTAAAACTGAGTCTATAGCATGCAAAAATAAGTGATTTCACTAGGATGTCTATGCTCTAATTTTAAGAAGACCTGCGGTGGAATTGGCACAGTGTGCTCTTTAGACCAGTGTAGAATTTTTATTAAATGCTCCATGGAGACCAAAGTACGTCACTGAAAAATTATTCAGCCTTGTGATATTTTAAGTAGTGTTGTTACCTTTTCTAATTCCCACAGGTCAGAGTTTTCAGAACGTACGTAACTTGCAGGAGCTTACAACAGAAATCCCATTTAATTCAGACTGTAAATCCTGGTCAAAACGTATCAGTGACTGGGCGAGTCGTCGTACTGGAGAAGTGTGTTTGCAAACGTGTTGTGGACGCTGCTTCTCAGTGCCCTCATAGGAAGAATATTCATTTCTGGCAGGTCATGATTCTCAGTATTGACAGCATGATGCTGGTGAGTATTTGCAGCATCTAACTACAGCGACAGCGCCTGAATTAGCACCTTAGATTCCTTATGTAATTTTTGGAAGTTTCTTAAGGCTGGTTGAGCGTTCCATGTAAAAGTTAGAATTTAAGCTTTCAGACTTTCTGCTAAATGGAAAGGGTGTGACGTGTCTGTGATGGCTTGTAAAATAGAAGAGAGCTAACAAGTAAATAGAAGTTTGGTTTAAACTGTTCTGAGAATGGAAATTGGGTTGTAGTCTGAGCTGGCATGTGTTTCACATCAGAATGCTAATTATAATGCTAATAATGCTGCCTGGTGCTACTTGAGGCCCCGTTTCCAGTTGCTGATAACTGTGCTGTTCACCTCCTTCAACTGAGACTTTCCCTGCTGGGTATCAGCTTTAGAGTTTAGTGCTCATTTGGTTTGGTTCTTCTCTCCCACCCATGTTTGTCATCTTTCTTCTCTCTCCAGTCTGGAACAACTTTAGCTGAGTATTTATTGCAGAGAATGAGGCCAACGAAAAGAAATCCTCATATCCAGCTCTCTAGGAAATGAGACGATCTAGCAGCCCTGCATCGGGAGTAGAGGCCTAAAGTTTGGAGTCTGGAGTTGGCCTTGTGATGTGAATGTGCTTTTGTCATCTTCATTAACCCTTTTTTTTTTTTTTAATTTGTTGAGTCCCCATAATGAAGTTTCCTGATGGCTTTATGCATTAACGGTGTGGGGATTACTGAAGGCTGGATCAAGTCTGTGGACCTTAGCTGAGGAGAAAAAACAAATTCTCGGAGGTGCTGTAGCTGACTTGAGACATCAGAAAGGAACAGACTCAGTGATTCAAATGCTAGCAGAATAAAAATAACGGTGAAAGTGCCCAGTTTGAGGATAAGGAGCCTGCAGTGTAAGCAGGAACTGTGACTGGAATTTGAGATCTGGGGATAAGGAAGTAAGATCGATGAGAAATCTAGAGAGGCAAATTTGTGATAAGAGTGTTTGGACTGCAGATGAGGAATGCAAGGGAAGAAAAATGAAGGGGGTGAAAACCAGGAATAAAAAGAGGACTATTTAGAAATTGAGAGAGCAGATAGATTAGGGGGAGGTGCATGTCCAGCTCTTGTTGGGCAGCTGGAGACAAACTGCTGGGAAATTGGAGATTGGCCCTGACTTGATGAGGAGAGAGAAGAGGAAGGGGAGATGGAAGCAGGGCAGGGACAGCCTGCAGGAGAAGCAGCAATGGCTGAGCTTGCTGGGAAGCACAGATATCGGGCTGTTTTTACATCCAGAGTGTGGCTGAAACCTGCTGAAAGTTAAAGATTCCCTTTAAAATTTTTAAAGGAATGGACTGTTGGTGTCAATATCCCTAGTTTGGGGGAAAAACTTGCTTGCTTATATAAACAGAGTTTTAATTGGATATACTCAACCCCTACTTAAAATGTTGTACGATGCTTTGATTATTCAAGTAGCTGATGCTGCTTGTAGGATGGGAGCGTTTCAGTAGAGGGTTACGGATGTTACATAGCTCACAAAAAGTAAACAACTTCCTTCTGATGGTGCCCATCCTGTAAGCTCCAGCGATGGCAGCATGAAATGTGGTTTATTAGGAGCCACTTCTAGGCTGGAAATTTCTTCCTTTCCTGAGTGAACACATGAATTTGGAAGAAGGAGATGCTGTTTTACGAGGCCTTTTCAAGAATGTGTGGCTGGTCTGCATAAGAAAGGTTCAGCATTTAAACTGTAAGCATGATTTAAGAGTAAAGTGCTCTGAACACTTATTTAAATTGTGCTCGTTTCAATTTAGTCAGAATGGACTGGGGAATCTCTTTAGCTAAGCTGAAATAGGAACATCTGAGTGTATAGATTAGATCAGGGGGATGCTGCTGTTCAATAAGGTCTTCCTGGGAAGGTCAATAAGCTCATCCTGGGAAGGATGAAACCTTCAAATTCTTACTTTGTTGAGATGTCAAAAATTGCCTGTCCTGGTCCCCCAAATCCAAGTCAGGAAAAGGGTTCCTTTTGTCTTCGGTGATCAAACTTCTGATTCCTGTTGGCTTCAATGATTTTTGGTGAAAATATATACCTAAGAAAATAAACAGTATCAGTCTTGGACACATATGGCATTTTGTGCCTTCAAAGTCATTAGTCAATGATAAGGGGAACAAATAACTGCATCAAATTAACATTTAAGCTTATGTGTTTTTAATATTTAATACTTTTAATTAATATTTTTTTATCTGATTACTAACTGTGGATGAAACCTGAAATCAGATTTTAATTTTCCTGTTAATTTTTTAAACCTTTTCTTTGCCATGACGCCAAGATTACCCTTGTGCAGATGCAAAACAAAACCTAAGTATTTTAGTGGAACAATATGTC